TTTAAAAAAAAAAAATTCCAAAGTGATACCACATAGCAGGCCGTACCAGAAGTCCAAAAGTTGAATAAAAAAATAAATTTGGGTTATTCATTTAATTATACATATGAGTTTATATTAAAAATAGGGGGTGTCATATAGTAATATATATGTATATAAAAAAAAATTAAAATTGTTGGGGGGGCCGTGGCACCCGTAGGTCCCCCCTTGGCTCCGTCCTTGCTTATGGGTCTGGGCCTAAGCTCATTAAGGTTAATATAAATAAGTGTAATTAGTGACAAACAAAGGTACGTTTTCATAATTACCAGTTGATTAGCATTGATATCTCTGAGACCGAGGACTGACTTAAGTATTGGAGTGCATTTTGCAGGTACCCCTCTCTTTCCTTAAGATATATATCATGGAAGACGAAGACCTAGCAGGAATAGCAAAATTACCGAAGTACTCTCATGTAAGTACACTACTTAATTGATGTACTTGCAGAAGTGTAGGCATCTCTGCAAGTCAAGAAGCAAATCTTCTCTCAATAATTGAGACTTTTAATTGAGAAAAGTGCATGGCTTAAATGTTAAGAGTGGTGGAAAGACAATTTTGACCTCATATAAGAGGGGAAGCAATCAAGTAAAATTTTTTTATAGTAATTATGGTATTAATATAAATTAAGTATCTATCTTATATAAAAATATATATAACTCATTCTCAATGATCAATTCCTATAGGAATAAAATGATATTTTTTATCACGACTCTACACTTAAGGTAAGAATTAAACTTCAATTTTTAATTAAGAAATATAAGTATCGAATCACTTAAATTAACGATTTTTAATTTAATAAACACATTCATATAATGATTCCTAAATCAAATATATCACATAATTATGAATTGACTAGAAAGATATCTAACTATTCATTGAAGATTTTTAAAGAAAAAAATTATTTAATCAACAAAAATTTAAACCTACTCTTATATTATAGATTTTAATACATAATTTAGAGAGTGAGATTTTCAATATTTTTTTGACTCTCTCAATTAGATTTTCTATATTCTTTCTCTTCTCACTTTTATATATGGGTTGCACATACTACCTCTTCAATTAATCAAATATTCTCTCTCAATCATCTCATACTATCATTCTTCTATTTTTTTTTTTATATTTATTCTCATTAAACTTTTATCCCTTTGAATATGTTATTTTTTATCTTAAAATTAAATATCAATATTTTTATAAAAATTATTAATAGTTAAAAATAATCTTATGTCAGAATTAAAATATTTTATTGTATATTTAAAAGTTAATTTATATTTGCAAAGATACATAATGAATTTTAATTATAATATAATTTATATAATTCAATGTATTTATTTATTATAATTGTTTATTTTATATAAAAATAAGCATTCATCATAATGCATAAATTAAAATATTAGTTAATTAATTCAGTAAACCCTAACAAAAGATGTTGGGAATTTGGACACCATTAAACACACTATAAGAAATGTTACATATAGTGACAAAAGTGTCACTATAAGTATAATATATGTAAGTATATATCTATTTGACATATAGTTACACACAATTTTAGTATTAATTTTAAATAAGATTTAATAACATATTTTGTGTGTCACTATAATCTATACTTATACTTTTTAACAATATACTGACATATATTATATTTATTGTGTAAATAAAAATAATTTTTAGTGATAATTTTTATATCATTGTATAATATATCACGATATGGTAATTTTCTTGTAGTGAGATTTTGAGTCTAGGATATCAAATTATAAACATGTATTATAGACCGACAAATTCCCATCAAAGGCAAAGCCCCACTCCCTCACAATTTGCTAGCCACCTTTATAGGATTGGAATACCCAACCTCTATTTTAATTTTTTAGAGCTATTATACAAGACCAATGAATATGATTACGATAATCTCATCTATAACTGAGAATCATGAAGAGAATAATTTTATAAAAGATACCCTTAACTTTATCCAAAATCACCTAGCTTTTCCTGTGATTGCACTAACTTGAAACCCTTTTGCTGGTTTTCACTCAATCACTTTGTTTAAGTTGTCCCCAGTAAATATTCTTAACCGTACAATATCTTTCTCACTGAGATCTTGTAGAGTACTTGAGCACATGAACTTTGACTAGTGTTCTTCATTTTATTTTATTTCTCATATTGAGTACAAAATGGCGTGACATGGCTCATCTTTAGCTACTACACATTATTCCTTAGTAGACCTGCAAAATAAGAAAGCAAAACTGAATCCTTTGATGTCATGTTAACACCAACAAATTAAATCTTCAAATATTATTATCATACTTGAAAATTGAAACTAATTGCTAAAAGATTCCTTGATCCCTCCTAGCCTATCTGAGACTTACGATGTGTTTGAGAGTGATGAATTACCATGAAATTATAATAGAGTGCAGGAAGAGAAAACTGTCGAAAATTTAAATATTAAAAAAAAAAAAAAATCAACTGTGTTTGGGAGCCTCAAGTGAGATGATTATTGTGGAAATAGATATGTCTCGCTAAAATTCTTAACTTTTGGTATGCGAAGAATTTTAAAACATAAAAGTTGGTTGATAACAAAATAGTCCCTATGACTCAATCATATATCATAGCATCAAATTATAATTGAATTTGTAAATATATTATAAAAAGGATAAAATACTAATCATAAATATCAACTTTACTATACTATTTTATCTAATTTTATCCTATCAAATAATTATAATTTTTTTTTCTATTTTACTTGGTTTCTTACCTATCTTTTTTTTTATCAAATTAATTTTCATATATTCTCTCTCATTCTCTTTTATTCCTCTTTCTCCTCCAAACAAAATATTTAAAGTGATGTAATACATATCCAATTAAGTAGAGTGTGTTTGGAATGAGTTGAATTTAATGTAACTTATGTTAAATTAACCTAATGAGACAAAATAGTTACTTTTACATTTTGCTCATTATAATGAGTAAAAGTCTCTTTATGATAAACCAAATACACACATTATTATCTCATGCAATAAACAAATGTAGTTACTATTTAATGTAGCCCTCAAATTCATGTAATCCTTAGTCATACTCTTGGAACCAATCAATATACCAAGCCCATTAAATTCTTTGAAGGCCTTTTTGTAAGAATTAGGTTTAACCTAATACATATCCTCGGGCCTTCACAATTCGGACTTTGACCCACATATCTATTTTTATCAACTCAAATACAAAAAAAAAATGTCGAAGAATGAAAAATCAATTCGTGCAAATATTTTCAGAAAGGTCCATAAACAAGTGAAACATTAACATTACATTTTTTAAACACTGTTTTTGTTATTAGATGAATTTCATTTAAATCATATCAAATTATAAATTAAAATTATGATGTGAATATGAGGTGAATATGAGGAACTCATTTTAGAGTGTAAAATAAATAATATTATAATATCGGCTGTTCATAAGAAAATCAACATTGGATATGTTTGAGCATTAATTATTGACCAGTATTTTTCTCTGTATAATATAGATGCATGTTTATTATATAATTAAAATTTATATAAAAAATATTATATTTATATATATAAATTATATTTAAAATTAGTATACATAAATATTTTTAAATATATAAATTATATTTTAGATTTATGATAAGTAATTTTTATGATAACCAAAAATTTATTTATTGAAAATTTATTTTAAATTATTAATATTTAATTTATAAAAAAAATTATGAAAAATATAAATCGAATTAGAAAAGGAATTAAAAAAGTTTATCCAAACTTTTTCGTTGAAAAAAAAAATCTTAAAAATACTTTTCACAAGATAAAGATTCGTATTTAATATATAAGATTGATTTTTCTAATTAAATAAAACTATTCTTATTTAGTATAAAGTACCCAAATCTACAATTTAATAGCTCTCACTTTAAAATATATTTCTTTTTATAATTATGTTGTTAGAGGAAAGTATTGATCGATGATTAATTTCTACTTGGTCATTAATTTTAGTATAATCTCTTCTCCTACTTACATCTTTACCTAAAACTTTAATTTAAGAGTTCAATTTAATTCTACTTGAATCGATGAGTTGTTTGCATATTAAAAAGTAGACTTAAATATCCTTTTAATCCATGTAAAAGAGGATGATTTTAGTTTTAGTCCTTTTAAAAGAAAATCATTTTCATACATGCAAAAAAAAAATTATTTTATTGTTGTCCTTACCATAACCATTAAATCCAACGGAAAAGAATAAAAAAAATCACAAAGACCAAAATAATAAGGTGAGAAAATTATAAAAATAAAAATAGGAAAGAACCTAAACAAAAACAAAATTTTAAAAGGACTAAAAAAAATTAAAAAAATTTGAGAGAAACAAAATAAAAATAACTAAAATTAAAAGGTTAAAATGAAATTAATTTATAGGAATTAAATATTTATTTGAGTCAAGTTTATAAAATTTAAATCTTTAAATATAATAAATACACTAATACAAAATATAAAATAAATAAATATAACAAATGCATTGATGACTAATACAATAATTTATAAAAAAAAACATTAACTTCATAAAAGTCATATAATGACATAATTACTCTTACAAGTTCAAAAAATAAATATAAGACATAAGTAGAAAAAATTAAACATAAAATAAAGTAAAGTTGGTAAAATAAATTATAACACATGAATATGAAATAATAAAGAAATTAAAAGATGAATGAAAAAAACTACATTAACTTCCTTTTTATGTCACACTCATGTCACTTATAGTTATATTACATTAAGTATTTTTTTTTTTATTATTTCATGTTTGTATGTTACTACTCACTTTAACGGTACGTAAATCAAATGATAAGAATTAAAATAAAACAAAAAAAATTACAAAGACGAAATGCAAAAATAAATTTTAAAATGACTAACATAAAAGAAAAGAAAAAACTCTTATTTTACATAGACTTGAAATTATTTAAGTCTAAAACAAATATAAAAAGGAGGGTTATGGAAACATTATATTGTAAATGTGTGAACATCAAACGTTGTTGCTTTCTAGCCACATGATGAGACAGTAATAATTTTAACACGATGCATCTGCAGCATTGAGCAACTCTAGCCATGGCTTCTAGAACCACCATCATCACACTCAAGCTCTCTTTCCTCTTGAGTTTCCTTCTCTTAGTTTCAGTGTTGAGTGTGAGAGTGAGAGGGTCAATTCCTCCAACATGCAAGCGCATAGAGTGTCCCACCCATGATGTCATTGAAGTTGGTCATGGCTATGAAATCCGCCACTATCATAATTCTACTCTCTGGATGTCAACTTCTCCCATTCAAAACATTTCTCTTGTTCAAGCCACGAGAACTGGCTTTAGGAGGTATACATGTTTCTTTCCCTTCAACTAGTTTACAATAATTTCTGAGGTTTTTTCTGCTATGTTCAGTGATTGTGTGTATAAGTAACATTCTTTGACTGGCTCTCCTTTGTGTTCATCAAGTGGCTATTGTCACCCAGGATATCTATTACCACTCATTTAACTGAATTTCATTTTATTTTTCCTTAAATTATTAGCTAGTGACAAAGAAAAAGAAGGGTATTTTATATAAAAATTATTTAAAATAGGAGTGGCAATAGAGTAATAGAGACTCAATAATTATAAAAGGTCGTAATTTAAATACATCTCTAGTCTCTTGTTAGAATTTGGAATTTCACTACATTAATCTATTTTACATTTAATGCAAGTCTTTACTATAGAATTAATTGTCTATCATGTTAAGAAACTTCGATTCTAATTAAAAAAATAGCCAAAAATATACAAATGATACATCTAACTTTTAACCTTATAGGAACTCCTCTCTTTTGGATTATTTTAATTAAAACACACAAGTTTGGAAGTTTTTAGCTTTAGCCATAACTCATTTTCAAATACAACTTATCACATAATTAATTTTATAAGAAAAACATTTTACTGTAGGTGGTTAATCTTTATTCAATAAACTATATTCTCAAGTTTTTGTACATTGCAAAATGTTTTCCGTAAGTGCCTATGGTGTTTGATTTAGAGCCTGTTTGTATATAAGGTAAAAACACTTTTGAGTGTTTCTATATTGAAAATAAAGAATATTTTTTTGGTAGAAAAGTTTTCAAAATCATTTCTAAACTTATATCTGACTCTTAATTGTGCTGAGTACCCCATTTGCTTTTACTTGCAGGCTATTTGATTACATTCAGGGCAAGAACAACTACAAGCAAAAAATTGAGATGACAGCACCTGTGATCACAGAAGTTTCACCTGGTGATGGACCCTTTTGTGAATCCTCCTTTGTTGTCAGTTTCTTTGTGCCAAAAGAGAACCAAGCAAACCCTCCTCCTGCAAAGGGTCTCCATGTCCAAAGATGGAACAGTGTGTATGTAGCAGCAAGACAATTTGGTGGATATGTAAATGATTCAAACGTTGGTGTGGAAGCTGCTGCATTGAGAGCTAGAATTGCAGGCACTAGTTGGTCTCGTGCCATTGACAAAAGCCACAAAGATGGTCGTGCTTCTGTTTACACTGTGGCACAATATAATGACCCTCTTGAATATGATCATAGGGTGAACGAGATATGGTTCTTGTTTGACATGGAAAGTGAGAGGCATGCAATGTGAAATGTGTGAGAGGACAAGAACTGTTTTCACCATTTTATATAGCTTGTAAACTTTCTACAAGAAAGCTATGAGCAGATCACAGTTTGAGGGTTAGAGCATCTGATATTGATAAAATAAAGTGTTGAAGATTTGCTTTAGCCATATGGTCTTTGATTGAATAATACTTTGCATCGCTAGTTTTATAGTGTGTTTAGATTTCAGTTTAAGTTCATGCATTTGCCAAAAGCTTGTTCCTTGTTTTTTTCTTAACAATGGTTTTGGGATTTCAATCAGCAATCCTAATACACTATCAAGGTCATTTTGATTTTTGAACACTTTTTAATGGAAAAGCATAGAACTCTTTATGAATTGATATAGGACTTTAAATCATAATTAATGTGTATCTAAGAATTCTGCAAAGATTTTACGCATTGATTAGTGTCATATCTTATTTGGCTTGTATCTTTGTTGGAATGGTGTTTACATACGATTGAGAGGTGTGATCACTTTTTTAAGTGCATCTCCAACCCAACACCCTAAATGAAGTTCTTAAATGGAATGAACTTCATATGTACACATCACGCATTTTATTATTTATTATTTAAGAACTTCACAAAGTATTCTATTTTCTAATTCAACATCTCTAAAATTGTTACAGTCTCACCAATATTTTCACATTAATAATTCACATTAGTAGTCAATATGATATGTGAACAATCAACATGTAACATTTGCAATTAACAATTAACTAATAATGTCAAATGGTTAATTAATGATGTGATAAAATGTGTGAAGTTTTGAACATTAGATGACAAAATATACAATTTCAAAAGTTATATAACAAAATTCACAAAATCATGAAATATAGATTACAAAAGTGCAATTAAACATAAAATACTTTGTCAAAAAGGACATCAAGGTGTCATGTTTGTTAGTACTCCCTTTACACATATATAAGAAAAAAAACTCAATTTCACAATATTAAGAAAAATACTTAAATGCATTTGATTTTCATATAAAATATACACTACATTATTAAAATATTCTTAATCACATTTATTATAGATAATGCTTTCATTCATTATCTTAAAAATATTTTTGAATTGAAAATCTTAAATAAAGTTAACTTAATTAAAATTTACTTATATCTAAATTTAAAAGTTTTAAATATTTTTTGCTTTAATATAAGTCCGGAGAGTATATGAAACCATTGGTTAATGAGACAAATTTCTTTGCCTTGGTCAACTTCAAGAGGTGCATATCTTATTAACACGAGTTCCGGAATCTTAACCAGTCAGCCATATTGTCGAATTAAATGTAAAGTATGACAACCTTCTATGATTGTTTAAATTATGATAGTACACATTATTGTATGGTGTGACTACACTTGTGTAGATAGTACAAGAATTTCTCGTTAAGTGAAGCTATCAAGAATGTGTTTGAGTTAAATAATAATACAAGTATTCCCAATATGTTTTGAATATTATTATAATGCCTTCAATTGCACATTAACATGCCTAATGAGCATGGTCCCCGGAAACAACCAACACAAGTTTAAAAATAGTCTCAAATCTCAATGAAATGGAACAATGATGCCACTAGGAAAAGACTTGATGGATTAATAGATAGCCAAAGGAACGATGCCGTCATCTTTACAATTATCAATAAAAATAAAAATAAAATACATCTGTGCTTGAAAGAACTATATGCCTCAATCAACTAAATATTGAAAACTTTGAGGCACAGCACCTACACTGCATCTAATAATCAGTTCAACCAGTTAGGATTCCCCAAAGACTAAAATTCACACTGACTAGAAAGAAGTGCGGGTAATACCACACACAGGATTACTCCCATATTGTACATACATGCCACAATTCCCATTTGGTGAATGTTCATTTGAAGAATTTGTGACCCTTTTAGAGTGATCAATTCTCTGTACTTGTTCAACATGACCCTTTTCATGGAACACCCTGGTAACTGGCCTACTATGTGAAAACTTCAAGTAGGACTTTTCTGGGGTGTAATTGAAGATAGATGAAATTGGATCCATGTTGCATGAATCACCATAGTCTACAGTGCTGAAGGAGTCCCTGGTGCTCTCAGTTGTGAAAGAGGCCTCATCTGAGCTTGTGAAGAGGGACCAATCACTTGATGTGGCATCCGAAAACTCGCTCCTGACATTTTCGGCATAAGTTTGTGTCACTGGTAGGGCATTCCTATTGGTGCTTTTTTTGAGGAAGCCATTAGTGGTGTCGATGATGTGAGTGGCGATTTCTGGCCTGGCATGGGGTGGTGCCTCTGGGACACAAAATTGATTGCCATGCCTGCTGTGTACTGGTTTATTAGGCTTCTGCATTTCCATTGGATTGTGCTTTGAAGAATCATATACTGACTGCTGCATGGCTTTCAATGCATGTTCTACCGGAGGACGGGGACAAGATCTATCAACAATTCAACAGTTTTAAAGCCAGAAGAAAGCATAAATAGTAAAATACAGCATGCAATAAAAGAAAGATGCATTGACATTCATAAAGGATGAACCATGATTACAATTTATCGATTCCATAAATAGGATCATTTACAATATGTATTCTTATGAGAAATTAAAACAGATATTCCGAATATGATCAGTCTATTTTACTTTCTAGCCCTCTGTTATATCCGAGTAGCTTTTAATAGATAAATTTAATGGAAGCAACAAAGATAAAGTGACAACATTCCACATAAATTAATGCCCACCTTAGCACTTTCATCTTTAGTTTGATTTTAGTTTTTCTTTTTTTCTTGACAAAGGAGGGTAATTTCCCCCAAAATGTAACACTTATATAAATACAACAACAGAACCAAGTATGCTGTTATGAGAAAATTTAGTACCAATGTGTACTCGGATAAAGAAAAGAAATTGTCAACGAGTGTGACAGCAACTAAATCTCTACCTCATATAGAATAAGATATATGCGCCTTCTGACATGACCTGATTAATTAGCACCGGCTGAACCTGTTAAATGGAAAAAGAATATCAGAATTTAAAATCTAATGACATCATAAACATTTGAGTAATTAGTATTATGAAACATAAATAGTAAAACTAAAAATACACATCTGCAGTTTGTTCATTTCCCAGATACAGCTAAAAATCCATAGTCTCTAAGTCCATATCCATGACAATTCAATCAGTCTATGATAAAAGAGAAAAGTAAGCAGCTATAAAAATACACTCTACCATAGAATCAGACCCTGCAGTGGCAACATGACATGATTTGTAATTTGAAATTGAGAAGTTAGGAATCTTTTCAGACACAAAATTGAAGACAAAGTATTAATAAAAGCCCAAATTTAGAAGGTAACACTACACATTAAATTACCAATTACATGCAAATATTGCAAACAAGGCAATATCCTTACCTCAGTATCATCTATCCTGTGCCAATTGCCTTGCAGATCTTTCACGTATGAAACATAGTGTCCAGAGAAAGATGCATTTAGTGTGTCCAGGTGCACAACAACAGCATAAAGCATGTAAAGTGGTGGAATATCACCCGTCCCAGTCATGAAAGGAATCATATCCAACATTTCAGGAAAAGTTATGCACTTGTTAATTTTCCCATATCTTCCTTCCTGATGATACAGAACCAAAAATAAGATATTCCATAGAGTCAACATATAAAAAGTTAAGAAATTTTAATCATTATCAGGAACACAAAAGTATAAGATCCAAATACAACAATTATGAGATGAACAACTACAAATATTAGATAATTTAACACTGATAGTTTCAAGGAACTCAACGATGAAGTTCTGAAACCAACTAATCTCACAATATGTTGGTAATGGCCAAATTAATGTGAAAATTTTCATCTCTAGAATTATTTATCAGTAACATTTACTTGCAGATTTTTTGTACATATGGAAAAGGAAATTCATTAAGAAAGAAGATAATAATAAAGATGGGGATAAGCCATTCTCCAGAAAACTACTATAAAAGAAAATTATAAAGAACTAACAAAAACAAACTAAAAAATAACAATAGATAATTGTAGCTTAATCTATCTATAATAAACATTGCAAATTAGAAGTTCCAGGCCCCTTCAGTAGACTGCTGTATGCCACTATTCATTGTCTTTTTGCTTTCTAGTTCCATTTCTTACACGAAAAAAATAAAAGACTTTCTCCAAATTAGGTGAGAAAATTGATTTTTTTTTTCAGATTGTTATAAAATTTGAAATAAAAATAAGTATTAAAAAAAGAAATAAATATGTTTTTAATATCTGAAAATATTATTTTTATTAATCTCTTCACATTTTGTTTGTTTGTAATGGTTAAGAAATATAAAAATTATCTACTTATTCCCTAAAAACACCTTGGTAAGGGACTAATAAGACACTTTTTTAAAAATAAATATATGGAGTAGAAAAGAAAATTTTTTAAGTTAAAGGACTTATTCCAAAAGACATCATATTTTAGATGCTAAAGACAAACTTAAATCTTAGAACAATCATAATAGTATTTTATCTTCAATATTCAATAATAAACACACACAAATAATGACATCATATTAAGATTTTGACCAAAAATAAATATAAAAATCAAATAACCAATGTCTTTTAGACTATATCCAATTATCCATACATAGCATGGGTGATAATAATGCCAGTCTCGAGTCTACAAATCCAAAAGGGAAACCCTTTAAAAGACCATGAGCTACTCACTCAAGTGAAGTCAAGCACCTTAATCTATCCCATGACAATTTTAATAATGCCAAAACACCTCAAAAATTCAACCATTCCTCTCTAACTATATGCACCAAAGAATGCAAACATTACACAATTCCACGGATCCCTAACCTCTTTTCTTCTTCCATACCCTTTAAAACTTATTTTGAAAAGGGACTCTAGAAAGTGGTCAAACCCACTTGCTCACCCAAATAACAAGCAGCCAATTCCATAATTTTTTTCCTATAGAAGTCGTTATTGCCATAGAATATCGGAATCCCATATTAGAGTATTATTACCCATCAAAGTATGCACAACATCAATAACCATGTTAAGTTTTTATAGGTCAATTTGTGTCTTGCTCAAACAACCTTAATCTAGAAAGTCAATAACTATAACACCAACCAAGTTATAAGTAGCAATAAGACTAGCAAGACAAACAATGAAGTCAAGCTTCCCAAACAGATGATGAAAACCCATAGAGAACAACCTTACAAGAGCTATGAATGAGA